GGCCAGTGGAGGGAAATGGTTGTGAAGTGTTGGGAGGGGATGAGGTGACTCAGGTATTGAATTCACTAAAAGTTCTTTCAGTGCTTGAACATGTTGCATTTCACTGTTGGGCTGGCTCAGTTTGGTAACAGTATTGTTCTCCCTCTAAAGATTGCAGACTGAAAACCTGCCTTGGGAAAGGGGCATGGCGTGATGTGATATTAGGACATGAGAGCTTTGTGCCAAAATGTTTTAGTTAATACAAACAACAACCAATTTTAAACAGTCTGGGGGAAAAACTCTCCTCTAATGATTGGGTTTCACTTCCATGGTGTCTATGATGCCATAATCCTACAAATTCTTCCATCTGAATGTGCCATGTAAATTAACATGGAATTAAAAAAAATCAGGCCCCCATTATACATCATAATGAAGTGAGAAAGGGCACAAACTTGTTACACACTCTGGAAAGTAATTATTTTAAAAGATTATGAAACTACCAAGTAACTGGCATGTACTTTCGCTGTAATTCTTTTCTACAGCCTGTGTATTTCTGTGCAATTACTGAAGATTGTTCCCAGGCAAATCAAAGAGAAGGGTAGGCTGCTTAGCAAAGAAAGAGCAGTTACTCTTTATCCATACCAATAACCTGGGTTTCAGCAAGGAGTCGAGATACAGGAATGAGAGGAGGTTTAAGGGTTATTGTTTTTTTGTTTTTTTGTTTTTTTATGTGCAATCTGTTATAAATGTGTGGTGCTTCATAAAGCAGCATTCCAAAGGTTTAATATCAGCACTTTACAATTCTGTGGCACCTTAGATTAGACTCAGATGAGGCAGGCAGTGTGTCTGGGAATCAGTGCACAGAACTGGGAATCAGGAGACCTGGGTTCTCTTCCTGACTATCACTTGCTCACTGTGTGATCTTATTAGGTAGGTTACTACTTCTATGTGTGCCTCACACTCCCAGTCTGTAAAATGGGGATAGTAAAATGATCTTTATGAAATGCTTGGAGAACCTCCAGTGAAAGAGGAAATATAAATATAAAGTATTATGATAGGTCCTGGCTCCTAGTCCAGTGCATTAGCCATGCTATACTCTTCCCTTTTCTTTGGGTACATCTATGGTGCAGCTGGAGGTGTAATTTCCAGCTCGGATAAACATGCGTTCACTTGCTTTGATCGATTTAGCTAGCTAAAAATAGAGTGCACCTGCGGTGGCATGGGCGGTGGCCTGGACTAGACTCCTGAGTACAGTCCTGTCTGAGAGCCTACCTACGTACTCGGGGCAGCTAACCCGTCTCCGCCTACACGGCCACAGCTGTGTTGCTATTTTTTAGTGTGCTAGGTCAATCGGAGCTCTTGAGCTCAATCATATCTCCCCGAGCTGGAAAGATACATCGCCAGCTGCAGTGGAGACATGACCTTAGAAGTTTTAGAAAGAGAAATCTCATCTTCAGCACACTAAGTGATGGCTTGAGACCATTGCTGGAAAAGGGGTGCTGGGGAGCTCCATGAAAGTTGCCAAGCAGACTTAGAAAGGAATGTATTTATTTTCCTTGTTTTTTGCAAAGCATGAATCAAAACCCAAATCTGTACCATAATCAATATGACATCACCTAAATAAGGTATATCAGTAATCCAGTAAAATCTCTTCCCTTCAGTTCTAACTTCATGCACTTTGACACACTTTGGGCCTGATTTTTTTTCTTTTCAGATGTGCTGAGCACCTCAGCTCCCATTGAATGTTGGTTGAGTTGCTGGTAATCAGCACTTCTGAAAATCTGGCCTTAGTTGGGAACCTAAAAATTGAGGCATCTAAACTTAGTGGCCACTTTTTAAAATGTAAACCAAAGTGACTTGCCAAAGTTGCACGTAAAGTCTGTGACAGACCCAGAAACAGAATCCAGATTTCTTGACATCCATAACCACAAAACTTGATTTCCTCTTTTGATATTGGATACCAAATCCCTTAGCATTCATTGAATGACACATCTGACTATACAAACTAGGTAACAAGAAAGTGTAACAAGCACATAAATTGTATGAAACCACTTTAAAAGCAATGGGCCAGATCTCAGGTTGGTATAAATCAGCACAGTTCTACTGAAGCCATCAGGGAGTGTCTGGCCCAGCTGCTGGGATCCTGCCCTGACTAGAGGGAGCTGCACCTGGAGGTATGATGGGGGTGTAACAGGGCAGACCAGTGGTATGTTCCAAGAACTATCCTGCCAGTGCTGTGCACAATAGTTGAGGTTGTGGTCGTGCATTGTCTTGCATATTTTGATACTCCTTCAGGGGCTGATCCAACTCTTAGTAAAGTCATTGGAAAGATTCCTGCTGCCACCAGTGGTAGTTGGATGGGTCCTTAAAGGGCAGTTGGAATCTCCTGTCTCTGTGACTCTATCTTTTGTTAAGCCAGTCACATGCTCTTGTTATGAGTAGCTGGTTTTCACGAACCTCCTTCAAAGTCTCGTCTCTTTTTCCTTTGGGTAGAGTAGCACCCCCCCCCAGCCTTCCTGAACGCTGGCCTCTTCAGTCAGTGTCTTACACCTGGGCATCAACTCTGATGGGCTCGGGTTTTTGTGCAGTCAGGTTACATTAATGTAGAGCACTAATGAGTCGGGGCTGGTTAATTTTCTGTCCTGTCTTTTCACTCAATGCAAGTGAGCTATGTAGCAGTGCACCGACACAAACACGTCCCACACATCACAAAATTGCTGATTAGGTTGCTACTAAACCAGGTTTCCGTGGGCTGCTATCCCATGTGTCACATTTTTTATCCCTTTTTACGCAGGAGTTCCTGAGAGTAAAGAAGGAGTTTACCATTTAAAAAAAAAAACAAATTGCCTTCCCAGTGTTATAAGAACACGTCAGAGTTTAAGGTTTTAGTAATCAAGGTTCTCTTCTCCATTTATGCTGGTGGTTTGTTTTTTGCATTTTACTCCATTTGGACAAGAAGGGCTTGTCTCCATTAGAAAGCCTTAATACTTTAACTATACTGGCATAGTTAAAGTGGGCAAAAAACCAAAACAGATCCTTAATGTGGATGCAGTTCTACCAGTATAAAAGAGCTCATACTGGTATAGTTTATTCTGGTTCATAAAGCAAAATAAGTGATGTTGGTATCAGGCACCTTTATCTGTGCATAACTACATCCACGCACAGGCTTATACTGGGTCTACTATATTAGTAAAGAATCAGCCTCCTAATCAATAGTTATGCCAGTAAAACTTTTCTAGTGTAGAACATGCCCAAGAACAAACTAATGAGTTTCACTCGTATATCTAATTAGCATCACATTCTGATTGTCAGGCACTAATCCAAAGCCACAATGCTCGGGGTTGAAAACACTGAGCCCTGGTTTACACGCACAAGTTTTGCTGGCTGGCAGGAAAGTGAGAAAATCTCACACCCTAACTGACATAACTCTGCTGGCAAAAACCCTAGTGTAGATGCAGTTATACTGGCACGTTCCTTTTGCCTTTATAGCTTGTTTCATTCAGGGACTTGTTATAAGCTGCGTCTCCACTAGTAGGATTTGCCAATATTGGTAGATCTGTCCAGCTATGCTAGCAAACCCTTTCTAGTGTATATAAGGGGGAGATGCAAGTCCAAAAAAACAGAGTGAATGGCTTTGGGGAGGGGTGTTATTTCACAAAATATTTGTATTAACACTAGGTTTTGTAATAGCTACAACTAAAGCCTAAATGTGAGCTTTATATTT